TTTTTTAACGTTTATATCGTAATTTTAAACGTAACTATACGATAGACATTCCGAAGATTCTCTTAGAATTTTTCTTATTACATTCTCATTTAATAATGGAAAGAAGAAATAAGAAAAGGAATAAGATATATTGGATTTTTTCTTCTCACAACGTGGAAGTTGTTTTATAAATGAAGGAAAGAAAAAATAAATTCGGAAGGGTAACAGAAGGGTTAGAGGTTAGATCGATGAACGGATGGACAGACGGACGAACGGACGGATGGACGGACAGACAGACAGAAAGGAAGAGATAGAAAGAGAGTGAAAAGTATATATCGAGGAAATGCAGCGATTGTAAGTAACAAACCATAATGCGTGTCTTGTGCAATGTCACGCCAACAAATTCACATGTGCACGATGTAAACGCGACAATGAACGTCGTTCAAGTATAAAACAAGGGAGTTCAATCGCGAATTTTATTCTAATACATGTAATCATTCATTTCAAAGTACCTAAATACGCATATACATTTGTATGTATATATATACTTACTTGTGTATATGGTATGTGCATACATAAAACGCAACCGTAACAACGCGGACGTGCAAACCGATGTAAACAGTTATTATAGAATAAATGATTTTATATAAATGATGTGAGGCATATAATGAGAAAGATATGTAATAGATAAACAAAAGAGACAGAGATAGAATTATTATGAATACATATGTATATATATATATATATATATATAAATGAACGAGCGTTTATCGCGTTTACATCATCGGATAACGGGGAGGGGGGGGGCACAACTACGAAAAGATTCGTGGTGGATACATGATCAATAATGAGAGGCTTTGAATTTGAACAACACGTTTACCTGACGCTGACATTTCGTCCGTTCTCTCGACCGAGTGTCCATTTTGAGATAAAGGGAGATTATATATTTCGAGTTTTTAATTTTTTTCGTTCTCTTTCCTTTTAATTCATTTCTTTCTTTTTTTTCAATCCCGTTTACAACGGGAAATTTTTTTTTTTTTTAATTCTTTATTAGGGTAAGTACCTAAATTGAAGTAAATTTGTTTACGACAGACGAAATGAGGATGCGCAGAAAAGATGGCTTTATTTTATCAAAATGTAAACTCAAGACGATCGAGAATGTTTTTATGTTTATTTTTTTATTTGTCGTTATCATTTATGGCGCGGTTTTTTTTTAAATTATTCTACGGAAATGGGGGAAAAAGATGAAAAAAGAAATAAAAAGAGAGAGAGAAAGAGAGAGAGAGAGAGAGAGAGAGAGAGAGAGAGTGAGGAAAATTCGATAAACTCGTAATGGGTGGTAAATTTTGACAATTTCACGCAACCCAGACGAAATGAAAAGTTTTTTTTTTGCTGTTATTTTTTTTTTTCATTTTTCTCTTCCGTCTCCTCATCCGTTTGAAAATGTTGATTATCATTTTTTTGAAAACCCTCAACGTCGATAGCTTCCAAAGTCAAAAACTGTAACCCGTCGATGAAAGTAACAAAATTCTCCCGGGTTTTCTTTCCTTCCTTTTTCGCTCTTTTTTGATCTTCCTTTTTTCCGTGACGTCATGTGGTCGTGGAGAATAGAAGATCACGAAGAGACGATAGATCTGGAACGGAGGTCCTCAACGTGTCGTCCTTGCTTCCTTCCATTTGAATCAAATCACTTTGAAGCAAGTGATCAAAGCCAATTTGAGTTCGTAACTTTGATCCTTTTCAAAATTCTAACTTCGAATAATCTTACATAGAAAAGTTTTCGAAAATGTTCACGTAAAGATTTACGATGTTTTCGTGTACATTCATCAAAGATTACTTCAAAATATTTTTGATTTAGAAGAAAGAAGAATCGACAAAGATATCGAAGAGTAGGAATCGTATCATTTTTTAAAGAAATTTTTCACCGTATCTTCCAACAAGAGAAATAAAAACTTCGTTTGTTAGGGAAGTAATTACGATGCTTTAGAGATAGAATAGTAATTTGTAAAAAACAAAAAAAAAGGAAATATCGAAGAGTTCAAAGATAACAAGAACTTTCTATTACTTATCCAAGGAAACGAGGAAGACACTGTATAGGTTCCTCGGTTTCGTAAAAGCTATCAAAGAAGATAAAGATCCGGTTGAATTGCTTTTGTGTTTCGAAGGGGTAGGTAGGTATATATATATATGCGCCGATAATTATGACAATGTGGACTAAGTAAACAAATTTACACAAATTTAATTTCACGATAATATTTTAATATATAAAATAAATCATAAAATTAATTTTTTTTTTCAATTGTTCCGGACTTAATCCATTTGTCACAATACCGGTACATATTTATGTATCTAATACAGACGTCAGTGAGAGTAAAATACCTGGGTGACGGGATTTTCGCCAGGACGATAGACAACGTTGTGCATCGGTCGTTTGCGGCCGACGTAATTTACACAGACAAACTCGAGAAGGCTCGCATAGATGAAACACATACAAACGCCATCCCAAACGTTCATGGCGGTCAGATTTGAAACCACCGGCAGAGTTCCTCGGAAGCCGTTAGACGTTGTGAAAAAATTCAACATCGTCGTCACGCCTGAAATAAAAATTTTTTATCGTTATCATTACTATTTATTATCATCATTTCGAAGAAAAATTAATCATAATAATTCTTCTCTTCTTTGTATTGCGAACAATACTTCTTACTCGATGTTTTATGTGAGTTTCTTTTTTCTTCTTATTTTTCTTTTTCTTCGTGTTTTTTTTATTTATTAAAGCAAGAATAATCAACGATAGTGGAAACGAACAGAGTCAGGTATTAAAATATTTCCTGATTAATAATAGAAAAACTACTAGATAGAACGAACCCACTTTCTATCCATGAAATTTTAACGTTCTAAACATTATTTCTCAAGGGAATGATCGGCTAGTAAGACGAGAGAAAGAAAGAGAGAGATAGAGAGAGAGAGAGAGCTAATATCCAATATGATGGTACATTCGCCGTAAAACTTTCTTCTTTACAGCGTCGTAGCATTAATGTTTAGAGGAAAATGAACCGTAAAGAATACATCGTCGAGGTTGGCCGAGTTTAGCCACTTAGGATCGATGGATTATGACGTCACACTTTCTCACTTTTTCTTCTCCATTTATCTTTCAACATTACCTTATCTATCGGATGTATCACTCTCTTAACTTGGACTAAATAATAACGAGAGTAAAAGTGAAATATTTTTATATGTAAATAAAAAAAAGATCCTTTCATCGAGATTTTGTTTAAATGAATTAGATCAAACTCGATGGAAAAGAGAGAAAAAGGGAGAGGGAGTGGGACAGTCACCCCTTCATAAATTTATTTATTTATTTTTTTGTTTTATTTTTCTTTGCTTACCGATCATCACGCGTGCCGGTACAGCATTCCATTCGAGCCAAAACGTGATGAACGAACTGGTTACCAAAATGATACCCGGGATGAAGACCGTCGTGAAGTAGAAGGCACGATCCCGAGTAAAGATTAGATCAACCTTCAGGCAGCTGTAGTTACCTGTACAATATCACCAAAACGACAAGTTGAATTTTTTCCTTAAAATTTTATATACGTATCACGATTTTGAACGAGTATTTTCCAAAAGAAAAACACAATAAATCTTCTTCGTTGTTTCAAGTTCGATCGATAAAATTCGAATCGTTGAAAATAATCGTTCGTAACCGTTAGATTGTTTTATTGTCATAACCGTACAATGCATTTTGCTTGATTATGCTTTAGGATATATAGGTTTGCACTTAAAAAAAAAAAAAAATACATATATATATATATATTTATTTATTTATTTATTATATGCGTGTCAATTATTACGATAGTGGATTAAGTTAAACAAAAATTGAATATATTTATTTTATATTATACAATTATTTATATTATAAAATAAATGAACATATTTTTTTTTTTTTACAAAATTTTGTTAACTTAATTTACTATTATAATTATCGGTACTATATGTATATATAATGTATAAAGAAAAAAGATGAATAAATAAAAATATTACGTAGCACGTTCGAAAAATCGCAAGCAAGCGTTACGAACGTTATTCGCAGAACGACTAATGGCTGATTTTTTTGTCGTATTCGTGCTTTATATATTTTGACAGTAGTTCATGTGACGTGGTGTCAGACGAGCCAACAACAGTCACGTGACAGTACATTCTACATCGGAAATCGAGTTGGACGTTGACAAACCTGTCAAATCGGCCAATTCTATCGATGCTTCTACTATGCTTTTTTGGTGTATGTAACATATGTACGTACGTCATTGTCGTTTACGTTGTTATCGTTATTGTCGTCTTTGTCGTTATATTGTCTTTACTTTGACAATGGGGGAGGGGATATGAAATAGAAATGATTCGTGTCTGGATTTTGTGTGTTCGTCAGCGCATTATTCTAGAATTAATTAACGAATTAAAATAAAAGAAAAAGTAAATCGCAAACGGGTATGAAAAGAAAAAAAGAAACAAAAAAGACAAAGAACGGAATAATAAAAGAAAGAAAAATAGAAAAAGTAAAATAAATAAATAAAAAAAAGGAAAATAAAAAAGGTTGCTTACAATCAATCATGTCTTTTATCGCCAATCAAGCTCCGCATTCTCGAAAGCACTGCAAGCTGAGCTAAATATGCTAATTTGTGAACCTCTAAACGCAAATATGGAATAGTGGGAATAAAAAGGTAATAAATAGGATAGGATTAATTAGAATTAAAAACAGGTTATTTTGATTACTTTTATGGGTCTACGATTGCAATATTATATATATATATATATATATGTATATAGTATATATAAATATATATATATATATATATA